TGGAAGAATGGTGCAGAACATGCAGTACATGTTGTGCTAAAAGGGGACCCAAACGTAAGAGTTGCTTGAAAATGTGTCAGAGTTTGTGAAAGTGTTATCGGAAAGGATGGATGATATTCACCATCAAGTGTGTTCAAACTTGAAAACGTCTGCTGATTCGATGAAGTTATCTTATGATAAGAGATCAACTGAGGTCAGCTTTGTACCAGGAGACAAGGTGTGGTTGTATAATCCCAGGAAGACCAAAGGGAAGTCCCCTAAGTTGTCATGTCCATGGGAAGGCCCATATGACATAGTGGATCGTCTCTCAGATGTGACTTTCCGGATAAAATGTGGTGCATGCCAACAGGCTTTGGCGTTATCATGGTCCAGGACATTTCAGTTGGGATGAAGTGAACAATGGAACAAATGACGCTGCTGAAGACATGTCACCTGAAAAAGCCACTGTCGGAAAAGAAACTCTACTTGGTTTTGAGAAGGGAAACAGTGAAGCCCTTGATGAAGTTACTACCACTGATGTGGCTGTTACCAATGATAAGATGTTTCCTGATGAAGCAGATGAATCCCACTTGAAGCATAAGCCAACGAGACGGAGACCAGTACGGAAGAAGATACGTCCCGTAAAATGAAGAGACTTTGTTAAATTTTGATTTTGTGTTTGTAAATTCTGTACATTTAATTAAGTTATTGTTAATTGTTTATTGGTTTAATGTAAGCGGCTATTGTTCGGGACGAACGATACTAAGGAAGGGGCAGTGTTACGACAGCGGGGGTCATGTGATGCTAGTAACACTTCATGCACTTCTAGAACGTTCATGTCTCTTCCTGAAGTGTCGAGAGGTTACTAGATATGCGGTATTCTTGTATATATAAGACCGGTAAGAACTGACGGCAACAATGCAATGAAATCTAATTGAACTGCAAACAGAGAGAGACGTATTGTTGGGTTGAGCGCGTGTGTCGTTCGTTTTGAATCATAGCATTTGTTTAACTCATAGTGTGACTGTTGAAATTAAGTGAATTTCAAAGTTGTATTGAGAAAGAATAAACTAGTTTTATTTAAGAAAGGACTTGTGTCGCTAAAGTTTCATCGGAAATAAATTTTTACAGAAAATTAACTAACGACCAGAGACGTAACAGTACATATGACAAATATGGTAGAAGTCTCTTGGGATCTTGTTCAGGTAGGATAAGTTACATTCATCTACAAAAATAATGTTTCTTTTGTTTGAAAAAAAAATCATTTTCAGTGTCAAATTATACTAATAGAGAAATTTAATGAGGTATGTCATTTTTATTTCAATAACAATATTCCAATAAAAATCCAACCAGTTGGAACATATAAACAAAAATCATGTGACCCATACATGGAAGTGTATAGCATTGAATAGTGAAATGTTTTGATACTCTGTTATGTTCTTCAGCAATTGTAAACAAAGTGTTTATAGATGTAGTTTGATAAAACTGTTTTGTTAAAATTATTTCCTTTTTAAGTGCTGGTTTTCATGTTTCTTGCGCACATAATTACAAAATGACATTTGTTTAAAAACATTTTATTTTCATGAATATTTTTTTGTGTATATTCCATCTGTTCCAGAATTACAATAACATAAAATGGATCTTGGACTACACAAAGTTGCCAGATATCTTAAAGGTATGATAAACATTGGTTTAAAAAGGTAGTTTTGTTTTAGTCAAACCTTTTCTTTAAGAAGCATTTCCTATATATAGAGAATATAATATTTATTTCAGGCAGAACTAAAATATTTAACTCACCCAACTAACTTAAAAGTGAAGTATCAAAATTTTGTTGATAAAGTAATATTCATTCCAGAGTATCAAGCTATGATTTTTTAGCTTGCCACTTGGAACTAACTTTTCTGCTGGATATCAGTGGACCTGATTATCACAGTGTAGTCAGTTATATTATAACTATCCTTGAACATGTTACTTTTATAACTGTTATTGACACTTGCACTCTTAGTACTAAAATGTCAGATACATGTACTTAGATCAGTGATTAATCAAACTTGAAATTATAACTTTTTGTTTATAGAATATATTCATAACCTTTATAATAATGTCCAGTAGTATTCCCACAATGAGCTATTTATTCTCTGCAGGTTCTGAAAGGACTAGAATTTTTTCAACTTAAATTTGCAGATGATATTAAGGTCTTAGGTGTTGCTAGCTTTGAAGAAGATGCTGCTGATTTACAAATGGATTTAGATCATTTAGTGAGTTGGGCAAATAAGTGGCAGATGGGTTTTAATTATAATAAATGCAAAATAATGCCTGTGGGTTATCGTAATTTGAATTATAAGTATATTTTTGGATAGGAATAACCTTAACAGTGTTATGAAGGAAAGGGATCTTGGTGTAATAGCTGATCAGTCTATAAAGCCATGCAAGCAGTGTGCTGTTGCTAGTGGTAGGGAAAATAAGATTTTAGGTTGTTATTGACAGAAATATTGAATACAAGTCTAAAGAGGTTATAATATCATTGTACATGTCACTGGTTAGGCCACATTTGGAATATTGTTTTCAGTCTTGGGCTCTTTACCTTAGGAAAGACATTGAACTGTTGGAAAGGGTTCATAGAAAGGTTACTAGAAAGGTGCCTGGGATGAAGGGGTTGTCATATGAAGAGGGGCTGAAATCTCTCAAATTGTTTTCTCTTGAAAAAAAGAAGAGTTAGGGAGGATCTGATTGAGATGTTTAAGATTGTAAAGGGAATTGATAGTATGATGCATAATTTTTTTTTCATATTTAACAGTGAGAATAGTAGGATCAGGGGACACAAATATACATTTTGGCAAGGTAAGAGTCATCTCCAGCTAAGACAGTTTCATTTTTCTAATGGGGTGATTGGCCTTTGGAATGGGTTGCTTTCGGATGTTGTAGAGGCAGTAAATTTAAGTGAGTTTAAGAAAAGGCTTGATAAGTATATGAATGATAAGGGCTGGGCTTTAAGATTTTTTAAAAAATTATTTTAATTTAGTTTAGAAAATGGAACAGCCGAGATGGACCAATAGGTCCCCGTGTTGTCCCAAAATGTTATGTTTTTTTTATACTACTATTATCTGTATCATTTTTCTCATATTTTCCTGACTTTGTTACATCAATTCACAATTAACCTTATTGTAACTTGTAACTTCATCTTGTTTCATTTTTAATGTACCTATTCTCTATATTCTTGATGTTTACTTTTAGCTTCTCATTTTCATTTAAGTACATGTCATTTCTTCTCAGGAAACAATCTTCTTTGTCACTGGACCTTCTATTTCCTGTTGAGGAGCTTGATTCATCTATTTACTGCTTGCCATTTATGTGTCATAAATCCATACATAGCTGAGAGTTATTTTACTTTGAATCATACTCTTATATTTGTGTACTTTCTGCCTACTCATATATTTCCATTACTCTCCAAGGGTTTCTAATAATTTGGATGTGCACCCCTTTCTTGGTATCTTTCAAAATTTTAATTCTTAAGCAAACTTAGTTGGCCTATTATACTCTGTTAAATTTCCTGATCAAGAGTTTGCATCAGATACCTACTTCAAGCACTTCATTTCTTGCTTTTATCTTCGTAGGTTTGGCTAATAAACTTAGGCAGATTTTGCATAGCTCCGTATTGTCCATCAGTGATCTTAATTATTCTTCCTTTAACAAAAGTTTTAGTGAATGTGTTAACACGTTGTATAATTTCACATGGAATGCTCCTGTCTTATGTTCAGTTTTGGAAATAACATTTTGTACTTAAATATCATCTCCAAATTTATACAGAAGGCAGGAGCAGTACATATTGTTACTTATCTGCTTGTTTGATAATTTCCGGTAAAAATTCTTTCCGAGTGACTTCAGTGAT